GGGGGGGGGGGGGGGAAAGGGGGGAGGAGAGATCGGGGGGGGAGGGGGATGTCGGCGTTAGGTTAAGTTTGGAGGCCCCGGGAAGAAAGGCGGGCGAGTGGCCAAGGAAGCGCGAATCAGCCTTACGACAGGACAACGAAGATGTACACTGAAGAAAAGCTACATGGGTCTGGTCTGGTCTGGGCAATACCTACTGTCTTATACAGTTTGAGGTCCTGGGTTCAATTCCTGGGGAGATCCCACACGTTGTCGGGAGCGTGAGATTATGGCTAGCTGCTGAGATGTGGAGTTGAGATCACAGTTGATGGATCGAGATTCGCACGCTGGATTGGTGGCGATTGCTGAACCCTCTGTCTCTACGGATGTTCGGGTGAACGGATGAGGAGGGATCCTAGAAGGCAGGATCAACCGCCTTGGACTTCCAGTTCGTATGGCGTAGTATAGTGTGGTAGTGGTGGATGGTGCTGTATGGTATGATAAATCGTAGAAATGACAGTGTTCAAATGGCCCAGAAGTCTCCCACTCTGTAACAGTTCAATTCAATTCAACATAGGACCCGCACAGGTTTCGGATGAATGTAACCCCTCCCTTCTTTTATATTTCCAGTGGGATCCATAATTCACAACAGGTCATGCTTTCCACCCCACCCCGCCCCGGGGGGCCCCAGCACCACCACCACGCTTTCCACGCGACCCCCCATCCCCCATCCCACCCCGCCCTGCCGCTCAAACGGAGCGCGCAGGGGCCGGCCGCTGCCGCACCTGGCCATGACCGCCGACGGCGCCCTCCACATCTCACTCAGCGCGAAGCCCACCAGCAGGGCCGCGTAGCTGAACTCCGCGGTGGGCGCCAGACAGGAGGCGGCCAGGCAGGGCGCCGCCACGCAGGTGGCTCCCGCGGTGACCCACCCCCGGCGGCCGATGGCACTGAGGCGGTCGGCCAGGTAGCCGCCGCCTGGACACACATACATACCGGGGAACATACAGCCGCGGCAGTAGAGCCGAGTAGTGGCAGACCGGGTGTGATGATCAGAAGAAGGCCGTGTGGGAAAAGGTAAGGTAGGGGAAGGGCAGATGCATAGGAAGGACAGAACCTGTTATCGTTATTGATCTCCTTATTTTTATTACGGTTTTTACTGTTGTTGTTTTTGCCTTTGATGTTGTTAATAGCAGCGTTGCGTTCTTAATGATACGTGGACGGATGTATCTCAAACTTGGAACGTGGGAACAAATATCCAACTGCCAACTGCCAGTGTCGAATTCAACACCAACTGGCCAAGTCCTAACCGAAACACCAAACTGTTTGGACATGTGGGAAAGAGCGTCTGCGTCTGCGTATATGTGTGTGTGTGTATGTGCAACATGAAGACCGGAGACGGACTATTGTTGTTGTTATTGTTGTTGTTGTTGTGTTCGAGTTGTGCAGGGTACATACAGAACATACGGTACGTCCTGTGTGTACGGTGTACGGCGTTCGCAACGGAAGCCATCCATCCATGCATGCATGCATGCTTACCGACGCCGCCGAGGATGCCGCCGATGGGGAGCAGCGCTGCCAGCACTGGTGCATACGATGGCGGCTCCAAATTGTACACTCGTTCGTAAAATGTCGACTGCCAGGCTATGAGCGCGTACGAGCCGACGTCATTCAGCGCCGCCGCCAGCGTTACAGACATGAACCCAGGCGAACGCAGCAACGCCATGATGTTGGAGCCGCTGGCGGCAGCCGTCGCCGCCGCCGCCGCCGCTGGCGCATCGGCGGGCTTATCTTGGGTCGCGCTGGTCAACAGTGGCGGCGCCGGCAAGGCGGCGGCGGCGCCGGTCAGTGCTGCCGCCGGGGGGGTAGCGACGCCGGCGACGACCGCCGGCGCGGGTGCAGGCGGCGCTGCCGCTAGCTGCTGTACGGCAGCCTGACGGGGCTCCTGAAGGGTCGTCGCCATGGCTAGACCAATAAGGAATCCGGGAATAGCGATCCATCGAAGCACCTGACAGGATTTGAATTCAAATAAGGGGATCAGATCCGGAATGCGGGTTTGCGGCCCCCACAGACCGACAGGGGTTTTGCGGCACGGAACCGGAACATCAGCACCCTCGCGAGTACGACAGCAAGTAAAAGGAAAGGAGAACAGCGGCAACAGCAATGGCATCCACGAAGACCTTCACAGAAACTCACACAGGCGCCGGCGCCATCAAGAGTTGTTGCTGTTTTCAACACGAACGTTTAAATCATCTCCTTCCTCTCTCATATATACATATAATATATATATACATACCATAGATATATACATCATTATATATCATACATACCATATATATATATATATATATATTTATATCTTATACATATAAACAATTGAATTATGCATATATATTTCCCCCCATTTTAGCCGCAACCATGGCACATGCACACAGACATACAGACACACGGACATCCAAACAGACATACATACGCACACGTGTTCGTCCACCGATTGCCCACCTGGCGCCAAGCTGAGTCAGGCAGCTCGTTGCCGTACTCCCACAGCGGAAAGTTGAATTCCTTATCGGGGGTAGCTGCCGCCATGTCACCGGCCGTGTGCATGATGGACAGGCTGTGCAGGTCAGCTCGGTCCAGATGGTCAAGACGGGTCTCCATGCGCAATCCGCCACGAGCCGCCAAATGAGCCTGTGTGGGTCGGTGGGTCAATGCTGGGTCAATGGTGGTGGTGGTGGTCGTCGTCGTCGTCATTGTTACAGCAGGCTACCAAGTTTCTATACCGTAACGCAAAGAATCCGAGCCAAAGGGAGTGGTGGTCGGCAAAGCTGGGAGCGAGGATAAGAGTGCGCTACTTGACAAGGTGCTGCTGTAAACGGCCTGGAGACGTGCGTCATTACTCATGCGCGTGATTACTACTTCCTGGCTCTACATCCCGTACTGAGCGGTGGCTGTGGCTGTGGCAAACAAGGCCATGGACGCAACTATATGGACGCCAACCATCTCTTAATTTATCTCATACCATATGATACCATATGATACCATCCAAAACAATTGCCGTACCTGGTCGTTGTCGTGCAGGTGCCGTGCCAACAGCACCGCCGCGAAGCTCAGAGCGCGTCCCACGTAGATGGCGCAATTGTACAACGATAGTGCAGTGGATTTATTCACGGGGAAAAGCTCGGGAATGAGGGAGAAACACACGGGGTTTTGTGCGCCCTGCGCGGCGGCGAAACCCACACGCGCCAACATGAGTTCCCCGAAGGAGCGGCACGTGGATGCCGTACATGTGAGTACGGACCACAGAGCCAGGCCGGCAGCCAGCAGCTGAGGACGACTGACTCTATCAGCCAGCAAGCCGATGGGGACCAGGGCTACAGCGTAAAGGTAGCTGTAGCCCGTGGTGAGGAGAGCGCCCTGCAGGTTGTAGGTCGGGGGGTCGAACGAAAAAAATGAAGAATACGCTCCAAAATGGAGAAGAGGTTCATAAACTGAAAGAGAGGGCTGGAAGGAAGAAAGCACTGCACGCGCAACATGGTGCTGTTGATGGGGTTTGACTGGGGCCGTACGGGGGGGTTATTATATTAAGCAAAACATAACGGGGGGCGGAGAAGGTTATTGGGTTATTGGACAGCAATTTCGACTGCGTGTGCACACACCTCCTGTAAGTGCATGAGGATGGAGGAACATGTTGATGGACGAACGGCGTAAAGCGGAAGAGGGGGACATGCTTTTCCGGAACACTTTCCATTAGCGGCTATGGATGTACGAATTCATAGACCGACAGACCGACCTGCATGTCGTCGAGGTGTAGTTCATTGGAAATCATTGGCAGCATGGCTGGTAGCGCAAAGCCCGTTGTGGCCTGGTGAACATAGCTCACGAATAAGAGCGCCAACGCCCAGAGCTTGCCCCAATGGACAGTGCGAACTGCGCCAACGATTCGCTTCCACAAGTCCGTGCCTTGCTGCGTTTGTTGCTGCTGTTGCTGTTGCTCCGCGTTTGTATTGGCACTGGTGCTCAAGTTGGTGTTTAAGCTTTCCTCAACGGGATGTGATAAATGAGTCGGACCGAGGAACGAAGCTGCGCTCACAGCAGCTGTAGTTGATCTAGAAGCAGAGGCAGAAGAAGAAGCCTGTGCGGCGACATACACTGAGGCTGCAGCTCCCGGTTCCTCGGCAGTGCCCAACTGTGAACCAACAATCGGTATCGAGGCAACCGAATGCGGCGCCGACTCAGCCAACGTTTGTGCATGCAGCGTCTCTGCCAACAGGTTAACGTGCGGGGCACTGGGTAGCTGTCCTTGCAGTTCTGCAGGCGAAGGACGCAAATCGTCCGGCGCGCCAGCCAGGGTTTCCGTCGCGACAAATACGCTCGAGACGCCTGGATGCGCATCATGTTCGCCTACTGCTTGCCCTGGGTGTGATGATAGCAGAGAGTCTGGCGCGCCAATCGCCGAACCGACTGGGGCTACGGTTACAAGTGCGTCCGGAGACAGCCCGAGAACAACGAGCTCAGAATCCACAACAGCTGATGCTGCGTTGGCGGGCCCGCCACTTTCTCGAGCGAGGACTCCCACCCGAACGCGGCTTCCATACTGACTGCGAAGCCGCGAACGCCCAAAAACACTGCTGAACTGCCCGGCTGAGCGCGATAATATGTGAGCCTTGCTTAAATGTCGACTTGAAAACAAGGACGAATGAAGGCTTCCGGCGCACAGCAGGCTTATGCGAGCTTGTGCAAACGCAGGGTCGGAAGTGACGGACTGAGAGATGGCTGCAGCAACGCTCATTCTCTGCGAGCGCTAGCAAAGCGCTCGCACTGACAAAAGTGCTGGGTGGTGGCCGAGCGCTGGCCACGTGCGTTAAGGTTGCGGTGCCTATTGCAAGCGAATAGTATAAAGGGACAAAAGATCTAATAGACTACCGGACGTCCACGTGCAAAGCAGTTGATCTGCAGCCCAAGACCTAAGACGCAGTAGAAAGCATTACACAACCAGGTGTGAACCGACTGCCTTGATGGCGCGTAACGTCAGCAAGTTACGGCACAGGGTCTCGGCCTCCTGTAACAGATGCTCTCCAGAGGCAACCTCATCCATGCGTCATCCGGCACGTTGTGGTGGACGGCAAGGAGCGCGTGGTAAGTGCTTCGGAGCGAACGCTCACATCCTTACACGTAAGCATTATAGAAAGTCAAAGTTTGGACTACAAATAAAAAATGTTGTACGCATTTCTTAAAAGATTTTCATGTCTAACGTTTATCAAACTCGCAATATTCTTTGGTCGCAATGTTCATACACCTCACGACTGCGCAGGGAGCCCTACGTTTCTCATCTTGAAAATTATCAATACTTGTAAGATATCTGTAATCACGCGCAGCCAGCTCCGTGTCCGGACTGCACTCCGAACAGAGAAGCTTAGGAGCCGGCCGGCGACCGCACCGCCGTCCAGCAATAGTACGTGATGTTTCGCGACCGCAGACACCCACTGCCAGCGAAAACGTTCATTTTCGAAGCTTTCGGAATCCCTTCCTTTGGCGTTGTTCGTTAGGCAGGCTATGCAATCACGTTGCCGGATGTATCCGTAAACTGCCCTTTACTTTCAAGCTCTTTGGCTACAGATTAATTTCTGTACATAAAGGCTCCGAACACTATAGCTGCATACGCAGAAGAACACCCATCCACCTCCGCCACCCTCCGCCATCAAGTCACCCCAGTGCTCCCACTGCAGCTTTAACCATACCGCGGTGCTGTTCCCCTACTTCCGAATACCCACTTATATGCCTAGCCTTTCTATCAATCTCGTAGACCTCGTAGTCCTACAGTTCACTAGGATAGATAGCGAGCTCACGCATATGTAACATCCATCATTCGGGAGCACGAAGGTTTCATGGATGGGATAAGGGCGCGTCACAGCATAGGGGATAAGGGAGCGGCCGGCAAGGCTACTTCTGCCATTGCGAAGGAGCTGAGCTGTTAAATCATCACCACATGGTACCATCTCTACGTTACAAGTTCCGCACGCAAGTGCGGATGTGTCCGTAAAAGCCGGGGGGGGCCATGGACATACGACATACCGCGTTACACATGGTAATGAATAAATCATAATAACAATAGCACATGGTAGCTTAGATCCGAAACCGCGCGGATCAGGTGCTGTTGCAGCACATGCAGTAGGGTATGGACCACCGCAATCCATCACCCCAACAATTACCACGCATCGCAACAGGCATCTAGGGGTGCCTTGGGAGGACGCCTAAAACACCATCCAGACATTCCCCTGCTCTTATCCAAGGACAGCAGGATAACAGCATAAGTATATATCCCGTAATATGCAATTCGGGGATTATGGAGACAGGGCCTACCCATTCCTCCTCCAACATATCCTCCAACCTGCCCAGACGGCGGACTACGGAGGTCCCCTGCTACTGCCACTGCTTCTTGGCACCGCCACTGCTGCACCACCAGCGCCGCGGCACCACCACGGGCATTCCTTTGGGAGCCAGGATAGTGCTAGACGTATAACCCTCACACGGCCCAGTCTGCCTCGCACGGCTATCGGCCCTGCCCTTGGCCGTCGCCGCCTGCCAGCCGACCATTGCGGTGCACTGTCGTACCAAGGAGTAGATGCTGGCGTTTCCTGGTGTCACTATGGGGTTCTAAATTCAGTTCCACATTCATTGGGCCATCATCATGCCAGCTTCGGAGGATAGTTAGGAGTGCAGGACCCACATCAGCTGCTGGTGGGGTGAAACAGAAACACACACGTCTGAGGCTCCTGCTCGGGTGCACAAACACAGGCAGATACAAGCACCTCCTGCTCATGAGCTATAGGAGCCCCACACACCTGCGTGTGTTTTCTACCAGGAGAGCCGACATCAGGGCCGTACGCAGCAGCAGCCAAGAGGAGGAGCATGCACCTCAATTTTAGAGCACCTCGCTGCCCGTCCGCTTTCACCACGTTCAACCTGCCTGCCTGCATATGCTGCTGCTGCTACTGCTGCCACTGCCGCAGCTTACGGCGTCGCCGTAGCAGCAGCTGGTTGCCGCTACCGTTACCGATGGCATTGGAGGAAGATGAATACGTTTCCCACGCAACATGTCAAAGGAATGACGATTCTCCCTTCAGGCTTTGGGCAATAATGCACGGGTTGTGTGGAGACGGTATATGCTGATATATAATATACCGTCTGCAGTGGGCAGAATGCTCAGCCGCCGCACCTCCAGTAGCCGCAGATGCTTCATCGGTGTGCTTCAGGGGTCAGCAGTGCCACAGTCCACCACGGAAAGTTGAAATGGGTCGCGAGCCATGGCTGCCCGGCAAGACCCTCGCCCTTCGCCCAATCACTTCACACCCAGACCCGACCCGACCCGACCAGGCCGCCGCCGCTGATACCGATACCACAGACCTCAGCAAGTCACGCACCAAGGCCATATGGCCGCATCAGAAACCAGAGCTCCGCTGTCCTCCTTGCCGGGGAGAGGGACGCCAGCTTCCCGTCCTCCACGGGTCTCACAACAAACGACAACCACCAACGGGTCCTAACATGACAAATTATGACATGACAAATTATGGCAAAGGCGCGCTACAGCGGCACGGACGGGGCCCTCACACAGGGTCAGCAGTAGCGATATTATTGATTAGGAGCCTCAAATTTACCCAGGAGTTGGGAACTGGTACAGGGACATTCCTGGCCCTATATGTATGTCTGTATGTGTGCCAGTGCCACCAGCCCCATGAGACCTTCCTACCAAGGAAAGGACCCATCCCCGCGCAGCCAAACCTTATCTGCACATTAAGCTCGCCATGGGATAACATGGCTCGTAATCCCGTATTTGAAAATAAATCTATCGCAAAAATCTATATGTTGTCGTAAAATTAGTTTGCCCCATATTATTATGCCCCATATCTGCCTCTAAGGCAAGTACATGTAGTTAGATTGCCGCCTGCAGCAATGGTTTCGGGGCCGGCGACTGACCAATCCTAGGACTCGAAGCAAGGCAAGGACTTCCCCAGCTCCAACACCCCCGCATGCCCTCTCCATCCCAACCGCACGCATCCGGGGACTGTCGGTACCGCACCGGCGGTGTGCACCTGTCCAGTGGCTATGCGCTCGCCTCCTCACACGATTCGGCGGTGGTGGTGGACAGCGTGGACCGCACAGCGAAAGAATAATAATCACCTCCCTTTCACAATGTGTCCTGCAGCACCGTTTTACTCTATTTTTTTCCACTCAAAAAACGCAAACGCATTGATAAAGTAATACTAACGACTGACACAAGTGCTTTAACTAATACTGGCTTAATTGCTCCGGTTATATTTTGCTGGCATAAAACTCCTGAAAGGCAGACAGATGACGGACGGACGAACAACAAATAAACAGGTAAGCAGATAGATAGCTGTTTGATAGTTAGCTGTATCACCGCACACCGGGTAGTGTGTTGACTACTACTACCGCAGAACGACGAATCGCCACCACCACCACCATCACCACCACTGGCCCGCTCCCCTCACACACAACACCTCTACAACGCCCGCCTACCTGCACGCGCGGATGTCCAAATCGGCCCCCCCACTACACACCGCGCCGCCCTCTCCATTCTCAACGCCCACTTCAGATGTGATTAATAACAGTGATGACATAGTCTAGGCCCCCATCTTATACTCGCTGCTGAGAGGCTCGTCGCCGTGAGTCATGCGTCCGCAGCGTCCAGAAGTACTCTGCTCCCTTACTGTATTTCACTCCGCTCCCCAGTCTCCCAACCAACTCGCTCTAGCCCCAACCTGCTGCTACTTACCAGTTTTGTGCTCTGTTCCAAACGGTGCGAGCGTGAGTGGGCCCTCGCCCGCCCGCTGCCCCCCACCAGCTTCCTTTCAACAGCACAATACTCGTAGGTTTCTTCATACTCGTACAGGTTCATAAACCTACACAACCCTGGACCCACCATTTGCTGCATGATCGCTTCCGCTTAGATGTACAGGCGCGCACATGTTGCCGCCGCCGCTCAGTGCCTGCGCCTTTACTTCCGCCACAAGTACCGAGTCAGTGATCCCATCCCGTTGTGCAGTTTGCCCTCCTAGAACCGCGGGAAGGGAATTGTTCGTCCAGGAAAGGGAAAGGGAAAGGGGAGGGGCTGTGAGGATTGGGTCGGCAATTATAATGACACGTATGCTGTGACACGTATGGCCGCCAAGTCGAGAGGGGAGATTGAGACTCCGGGGTTTTGGACCCTTACCCCCCCCCACCCCAACCATGTTGTTTTCCAGAGGATTACAGACATATAAATATACACACGTGGCAAATAGGAAGGAGCGGCGCTTCGCACGCAGTTGCCCCGGCAGTACAACTGGATGAGCGCACGACGGGACGGCAACGCAGCTGCCACCGGAATGGCAGTGAACAGTCCTCTACCCAGACCCCACCCCTACCAAACTTCCCGGGGTCTAATTGCTTCGGCAACATTACTCGTGTACCATCCTCGCCAATTCTTACTCGCGGAGGCTTCAACTCATTTAAACGCGAGGCGAGCTGCGGCGCCTCCATCGCCCCAGCCCTGTTTATCACACCCTATACCTCCTGCCTGCATGTACGCTGCCCTGCTATGTTCCACACCTCGAGTACATACTCCAGCTCCTGCCCTAAAAGCTCGGTACCGGCGTACTGACCCAGCTGGTTTCGGAGCTCCTGAAAAAGGCATCACCAATACAGCCACGAGATGGTAAGTGCGGTCCACGGCGGGCATGTGCAGGTGGTTGTGTAGGGGGATTTCCAGCGGGGAAACTCCGGGGGAACTCCTCAGGGAGAGGGCGAAAGGGAGAGGGGGCCGACATGGAGTCGCGTTAGGGTGTGTGCACTCTGAGCGATGAGTGCCCAACGGTTGAAAGCTCCCAGCCGAAATCTGACCAATGCCAAGCGCGGCAGAGGTTCGCATATTCTGGGTATGGACGGTACGGGGGACGGATGCCTCGTGATGTGTGCAGCCCGCCCAGGAAAGCAAGTCTTTTACGCCGTGGCTCCAAGGCTCTAGGGCGGTCAAGGCAGCACGTGGCACCTGCAGGCCCAAGAGCTAGGATGCTGGCAAAGAGTACCGCTTCCGTGTTCGGTCCACGGCCCACTGTTGGACCCACCCACAGTCCAACGCCGCTCAATCGATTTGGTTGGCCTGGCCCACCTGCAGCGTCACCAGCAAGTCCGGATCATGCGGTCCGCCGGACTCTTGCCTGTAGCCCTTGTGTATCTGGTTGGGGTGGAAGACCTCCATGATTAGGAGCCCACCTGCGCTCCTCCAGCCAGCAAAGCAAAGCAAAGCAGTCGGGCAGGAAGGCAGGGAGGAAGGAGCCACACGGGATCAGGGCTGTGGATAAATGAGAGTGATAGATGACCACTAGCATGTAGCCAGCTGGGTCCCTGTGTGTGTGAGAGACTACCGGGTAGTGTTGTGAATGTTCTAAATGGGCAGATGGGCAAATGGACCCAGCCCACCCACCCGGACGCAGCATCTCGACTATTCCCGCCATGAAGGCTGGGCGGTCCGCGGACGGCACGTGGCAGAAGCTGAGCACCACACAGTCGACGCTGCCGGGCCCGCCAGGCGGCCGCCACGTCAGCACGTCGGCCTTGACGGGGTTTACTCGAGCGGCGGCGGAGCTGCCTGCCCTTTCGGCCGCCAGTCGTACGGTCTTATCGAGTCCTGCATGGGAAAAGTCAACCGCCGTGACGCGGTGTCCCGCCTGGGACGGTTCCGCCGCCGCGAGGAACATGACAGGACGGTTAAGACGACAGCATGTTGCAGTAATGCACTTGTGGTGTTTTGAGGTCGCTGGTATGGCGTATGTTTTCTTGTTTGGCGATTTGGGTCATGGCGGGGTCATAATGCTGCGGTAGGGCGCGCGAATGCCGCCGTTCTTGTCGATGCTTTCAAGCACCGCGCATGTGCAGTTTGTAGGAAATTTGCGGAGGTGAGGACGGGTGAAGAGGGGCCCATGTCAGGCGGATTGGGAGATTGGGACCTGGGGTGGAGGCTGGGGAATGATGTCTTGGGCCTGGAATCCGGGTTGGGGGCGCTGCGGGTGTGAATTACCAGGTCCAGGCCTTACGTTTCGAAAAGCCCAGCCAGCAGGTCCCATCGTGCAGGAACGCACTGGACGGAAGAGGTCACGCTTACGAACGCTTCCGGGAGGATAGGCGTCCCAACGCTGTGAAATGGTGCTAGCCTTGTGACTCATTGGGAGCTGGAAGTTATCAGGCCTGTGGCCTCGAGCGTGCTGTGCAGGTGTCGAGGGCGAGCTGCACGTCTTTCGATAAATGGCCAGGCTAGGGGAACCTTCGGGTTAAGTACGAGAGGGACATTGACTTCCAAGGGCTCGAAGTGCGTGCTATAATGGCGGATGGCCCCTTCATTCATAGCTTCTGTGCTTAGTTCTCGGGAAAGCCCGGAAGGCCAGGGGCACATCGCGCTTAGGCGCACCGAGCCCGGGTGAGCGGGAGCGGGAGCGGGAGCGGGAGCGGGAGCGGGAGCGGGAGTCAATGTCCGGACTCGCCGCCACACTAATGACGATTGACCGTTCATGGCCCCCCTCGGCATTTACGGAATTCCCCCCACTTCTGCGGGAGGTTGTGCTTGTAGCTACCACAAACCAGCAGTTCGATGAGGTATCAACTGCAGTACTATACAACTCACCGCCACAAGGTAGGCTACGTTCCGGCCCTCGCCGCAAGCTAGCTCCACGATGTGACAAGGCGAGGCATTCAGGTAGAGTTCCGCGGTTTGGCGCACGTGTACGTTTGGCTCCCTCCCGTAGACATATTCTTCCTCGCCGTACCTACTGTCCCAGAAGCTGGGCTCCATGGGAACGCAGAAGGAACTGATGGGATTACTACACACACCGCGACGGGTACGGGCAAGGACCTAAACCAAGCGAGGATAAATAATATAGACAAAAAAACCACGAGTCAAAGCGTTACAAGTGCCACTACGTTGGAAAGGGCTCTGTCACAGCATTGAATTTCCTTTGCGTGAAGCACAGAGCCTAAGGGCATTACAATTGTCGTGTCATTATTAATCTAAATTCGTGAGTAAACGTGCGCGCACAGCCTGACGTGGCAAAAAGACCATGACGCCGTACGAATTTGTAAACGATTCGTGGTGCATTGCTCTTCTGAGTGTCTTTCACATAAGGAAAGCTACCAATTATATGTAATTTTCAAAAGATAGCAACTCTGTTTGTAGGTGATCAATAACCTAATGAACGTGCAGACTGTATTAACGGTATTATGTTCGTTTCCGCGCTGGATACACACGAATAGCTGTCGTCGATCTTCTTTTTAATCATTTTTCTGACAGACTAAATAGCGTCTCTAGGCCAAGCATTGTGCGGTGTTGCTTCCCGCACTAACTGACAGGCCACCGCTGCGTTGACGCTGGTGCTCCCTGGGCCAGGAAGTGCCGTTGTCACATTGGAGCCTTCCCTTGCATATCAGTTGCTGGGTTGGGTGTGCAGCAAGTCTGACTCAGCTGTAACGGTGAACGAAGTCACCGACTGGCGTAAAGGGACAACCGCGGGGACATGGCTGCTGGGACTTCGCCTCCTGGTGGCCTAACCTTCGATGATGCTCTGACAAAATATGTCGGCGAATTCGGGCGTAGCCAGATACGCATTCTCCTTCTGGCATCGCTCTTCTGGATAGGAAATTGTGAGCCGAAACGTTTCCTCATTTGGGTTTCACTATTAATTCACGCTTTCCCTGCCGAAATCCACTTGCTGACGCATTTGCGGTCGAAGCGCAACAACAATAAGCCAATTTGCGTGTGTTTAGACCCCGTTCAACATTTAAGTAGATTCCGGCTGCCCCGCTTTGCTGATCCCCAACCAACAGCCTTGTTCATCCTCTTGATGGTCTTCCACGCCTCGCCTTCGCCGTTGAAAGAGCACTGGTGGCGCTGCATCGACCAAGACGACACGCGTTGTGCCAACGTGTTTGCGCTCAAGGACCCCTCCCGCGATATCTGCGACCTCCCGTCTAGCTCCTGGGTATGGACGCAACAGTCCAAATCAATCATCAGCCAGTTCAACCTCATTTGCGGCGCGTCCTGGAGGAGCCAGTTTGCGAACTCGGGCTTCTTCATGGGCTACCTAATAGGCAGCGGCGTGTTCGGAAGGTATGGTAGGCGCGAGTGCTATAGGCCCTGGTCAACGCAGTTTAAATTTCTTTTCCACGGGGTCCTTCCCCTCCGGGACAAATCCCACTATAACAAGTATTCCCCGGTGTTACCCTAAACCGTAAACTGGGCCATCAGCAAATTACATATGCTTCCTACGTACGGTCCTAAATTCCTGTCACCTGCATCCTGCATGCCGCCGTACAGGGTGGCCAGAGAGGACTTCTCCCGCCCTGCTCTACGTCCGTCCGTTCTCGAGACACCGTTTTTCGCGTTCGATTTAATTAGTTTTCTTTTCTCCCCTTTCTCCCCGACACATTCCCCCCTGACCCACAAATGGCGAATTACGCTCTATCCTTTTCCTACAGCCTTTCCTACTAGGGATTTTGCGCCACATTTCGCCACATTAGTAACTAACCCTGTAGTAACACGGTCCTCCTTCTTTCCTCTTCGCCTTCGCCGCATCAACCCCCAACAGCGTCGCGGACTCTCGTGGCCGCAAGCCCGTCCTCTTCGGTTGCACGGCCCTGGGCGCAATCTTCACCATGGCTGCTGGACTGGCGCCCAACTACGTGGCCTACTTCATCTTCCGGCTCATCACCGGCATCGGTGCGGCGGGGCAAGCCCTCACTGCGTACATCCTGGCCACGGAGAGCGTGGGACCCGGCTGGCGCGGAACTGCTGGTGTTGCGACGCAGCTGTTCTTCATCGTGGGTAGGTGTGGGGGCTTAGGGTTTTCGGAGCGGGGAAACAGGAAGGCGGCTGTACGATGTACGGTACGCATGTGCACGGGGAGCTGGGACAGCTACCTGTGATGGTAGGTAAGGTGTCTTTTCGCTTTTCGGTAATATGGGGTTGTTATTAAGGGATTATAATATAACCCTGTGTCCTTAACACGACGAAGGAGCGCCTTCCAGCGGCGGCAGTATGGCAACGACGAAGATCGATCGTCTGTCAAGGTAGTGATACGAGGTAGTGATACGAGGTAGTGATACGAGGTAGTGATACGAGGTAGTGATACGAGGTAGTGATACGAGGTAGTGATACGAGGTAGTGATACGAGGTAGTGGTAGCCAACCGTTGGTTATCCTGCAACAGCAGCACAACTCCAAAGGAGCCGCAGCACACATGGAGACGCAGTTGGTCACTCGGATGCGGTCTGGTGGCGGACTTACTTTTGAGGGGACTGAGTGGGGGTGAGGGGCCGACGGTGTCCTGAATGCATTAGGGGTGGCGCATGAGGGGTCTTATCAAACAGCGTCCCACGGCTTCCTTGGTGCTCTCCGGTGCATTCACTCATTCATTGCGCTGCCCTTATCACCAACTTGGCTCGTTGGCCGACCAGCACCACCACTACCACTACCAGCACCACCACCACCAGTACCTGTACCATCGCTAATTGTCGTGCCCTCCGCCCTGGGGACATGCAGGCGAGTTCGTGCTCGTCCTTGTAGCGTTCATCGCGCGCCCCTGGCGAGTGCTGTGCTTTGCTTGCGCCGTCGTCAACGCGGCCATGCTGTTCCTCTGGCCGACGCTGCCCGAGTCACCGCGCTGGCTGCTGGTGAAGGGCCGCAAGGACGAAGCCACAGCCATCCTGGCTCGCATTGCGGCTGGAAACCGCCGCGCCATGCCGTCTGAGCCACTCGCAGACCCTGGCGACCGCCGTACAACCGCTACTGCCGCTAGTGCCGCTATAGAGTCGGCGGCGGAGGAGGGCACTCCGCTGCAGCTGGAACAGCACGCCGTGGAAAAGCCGCATCACCACCAGCAGGAACAACAGCAACAGCGCTCGTCGTCGACTTCCCTCAGCTCCGCCCATTCCGTTTCGCTGACGGGAATGTTGCTCAAGGACCGGCGCATGTTGCGTCGCTTTCTCGTGTTGGCGTACGTATGGATGGTGATGTGTATGGCCTACTACGGCATCTCTCTGGCGTTGGGCGGCCTTCCAGGTGCGCCAAGAACGCCAGTGGACGAAAGCACTGGACTTTTGACGGCATTGGACTTTGGCTTCTTGGAAAGCTTGGCTTGTTAGAAACGGGGGGGAAAGCCTTCTTATGCCAAATGTATCAAACGTTAAGAAATTGACTTTGTCCGGTCCAAAGCACCAACTGCCGGAGCCCGATCGGTCTTGGTGGGGAGGTGTGCGATGTGTGGGGAGATATATGGCTTTTTTTTGCATTTGGCTCGTATGGGCACTCGTTACACCTCCGTCTCTGGGTAACTCAACAGAGGTGTAACATACTCATACGCACTCACATACACACATACGCACTCACATACACACATACGCACTCATTCACACTCACTCACTCACTCACACTCACTCACACTCACTCACACTCACTCACACTCACTCACACTCACTCACACTCACTCACACTCACTCACACTCACTCACACTCACCCACACTCACTCACACTCACTCACACTCACTCACACTCACTCATACTCACTCATACTCACTCATACTCACTCATACTCACTCACATTCACTCACATTCACTCACACTCACTCACACTCACTCACACTCACTCACACTCACGCACACTCACGCACACTCACGCACACTCACGCACACTCACGCACACTCACGCACACTCACGCACACTCACGCACACTCACGCACACTCACTCACACTCACTCACACTCTCACTCACACTCACTCACACTCTCACTCACACTCACTCTCACACTCACTCACACTCACTCTCACACTCACTCACACTCACTCACACTCACTCTCACACTCACTCACACTCACTCACACTCACTCACTCACCGTTAAAGCCACATTCGCGGTTGTGAGTCCGTTCAAATCTTGGACGCGAATCTAAGGGACTCGTTTCCACTGCACGTTTTCCAAGATTGACGGCATGCAGCCCATTCTGCCCTTGACTGCGGTTGGGACCATAGGCATACGCAAAGGCATTTGTTTCGTTGAATTCACCTCCGGGGCCACCGGCGCTTTTCCTTTGCGCTTCATTTCACTCGCCCACAGGCTCCATTTACGTGACCTTCATGATAACAGCGGCCGCGGAGCTGCCCTCCAACATTCTGGCGGCATGGATGATCGAGCGTTACGGCCGCCACAACACCATGGCCGCGGGCATGCTGCTGGGAGGCGCCGCCTGCCTCGGCTGCGCCTTCGTACCGGCGGGAGTCGTGTCCGCGTTAATGGCGGCGGTGGGCAAGTTTGGCTGCGCGGGGGCCTTCACGGTGGCGTCCATCTTCACGAGCGAGATGTTCCCCACACTGGTAAGCACGCGGGTGCCTTACGTGCCCGGCCTGTGGGTGTTCATGCAGTGTGCTGGGAGTGCTTCCCATTAAGGGACTTGTGTTCTCTGTGTGTGGGAACCAAGAACTTTCTTTGTATAAATAAGGCCACCTTTATACTTAGCCGGAAGGGGAGTCTGATGTCTTAATCCTAACTCGGGATTCGGCGGTGGGAATGGAATCTGACCTTGGCTGTGAGAGGGATTGCGGGAGGGACCTCTGGCTCTAGCCTGTACAGCGCCGCCGAGTTCCAATGCGAAGCTTTACCGGAATAGTTCGCGGTGGTCCTCGATCGTCGGTCAAGCAGTTGGTTGCCTTTGGGTACCTTTCCGTCTGTCTGCCTTCCTGGTTGTTTCTGGTCACAACCTCTCCGGCTGCTGGTATCCCCATCGGTCACATGTAGGTCCGCAGCGCCGTTCTGGGGGCTGAGAACGAGGCGGCACGTGTGGGCGGCATCTCTGCGCCGTTCATTGTACTTGTGGGGATTAGCACGGGCCAGGCCGCCATGCCCTTCATCATCTTTGGAGTAACTTCGCTTGTGGCGGGAGTGGCCATCTTCACGCTGCCGGAGACACTGGGCACCACGTTGCCGGACACCATGTCAGGTGAGCAAAGATGGCGTGGGCTGTGGGCGGGGGAAGCTGGGCTGTGGGCGGGGGGAGCTGGGCTGTGGGCGGGGGGAGCTGGGCTGGGATTGTGGCTCTCGGCTGCGACATGTCCCGTTTTGTTGGCAGCGAGCCGCAGTGTGCGTTTCCCCTCCTGCGCGATTGTGTTGTCACACGGCCGTTTTAGTCACGGCCCCTCTCCCTCCCCCGCCACCCCGTTCTGCCTGGCGCCACGCACCCGTTCCGCTGTCGCCCTGGCAGACATGGTCGGCATCCAGTCCATCTTCACCACTCAGCCCTGGCGCCGCGGCGGCTGGCGGCAGACGCTCAGGGAGATGTTCCGAGTCCGGGGCGGCCCGCCGGTTGGCGCTGCTGGTTCACCCGCCAAGAACCGCTCTAGTGCTACCTCGATCTCTGTGCATGCTGAGACGCCAAACAGGGTCCAGGGTGGGCAATCAGCCTCTGGGGTTGGGGCCGCAGGTGGAGGTGACGAGCTACCGCCTCGGCTTGAGCTTGCAGGTGGTGAATTTCATTTGGCAGCGGAGCGATTTCCTGACACCGAAGCTGTGGGGCTCGGGGATGACCATCACCGTCATCATCACCATCGCCACCACCACCACCATCCTCATCACGGCCACCTCAACGGCCATGGCGTCGGCGTCAGCGCAGGCTTGGATGGCCGTAACGACAGCGATCACGCTGGCGGCGGCGGGGGCAGCAGCAGCGGCAGCGGCTATGTAAAGAACGAGGAACGGCATGCGCTGCTGCACGCGGCAACCTCCAGATCGGACATCCTGGGGCCCCAGCGCGCGACTGGTTGGGAGCGCGGCGTTCAGGACGAGCCCATGGTGGCGGGCTACCGCCGCGGCGCAACAACAGACAGCATCGTCGTCGGCAGCACGCGGGGGACTGCAGAGGGGACTGACCGGCAGACAGGTCCCTCCAGAGCCAGCTACTTTGAACATAAGCGAGAGGAGCTGCGACGGTTTCCCTGAGGGCATTTTTCTAGCTGGCACGTTCCTGAGTTTTGTTTCAGATAACGGAGTTCGGTTTTTAGGGTTTTCAACTGCCATTGCTGTTTGTGATGTGTACCTTTGCCGATTTCGTTGCGTGCCTCGTGGTATGTATGTGTGTATGTATGGGATGTTGATTTTTGGGTTTTCTCTTCGCGCCGCTGTTTTTTGTCTGGTTGGAAAGTTGGAAACACATTTGGCGATGTGGATGGTGGTCAGGCGCTGGAGTGATGCATGCATATGGCTTCACCGTCGCGGCTTATTGCCGTTGCTCGACGAGCGGAAGTACCGCGGTATAAAGGATGGTGGGCTGGTGATCCATGAACAACTGCATGATGGACCGCAGGACGTTAATCATGTTGCGTGTCAGCGTTCCTACCGATGTGATTATTGTCTTCCGTACCAACGGAATCTAGGCCTACGGACTCCGGACTCAGTTAAGGCTGCTTTATTGAGTGTACGGAATTCAGCAAAGTTGTTACTAGAGTGGACGTGACGTCTTATTCAGTCGTAGCGCAGCATTGTCGTGGCTACTTGTGTGGTCAAGGTAAAGGAAGGGAAGATGTGTATCATGCGAGTTGAGTGGTGGGAGGGAGAGGGGGAAACGTGCGACGGACATTCATGGTTGTGGTATTCCTGTGATATGACGATGTGCATCCTTTTATGGATGTGCGGAGAGCGTTCCGTGGCAGCGAACCGGGGTGAGCTGAGCTGCAATCTGGACCTGTTGTCTAAGACTAGACTCTTTCCTCGGATGACAGCAGTTGCCTCCTGCGAGCTTTTCATTAAAGCTAGCTGATTGCCCCTGCGTGCTGTTGATTTAAGAGTGTCAAAATACCAGTTTCCGCTTGCGTGCCGGCGGCCTCGGGTACCATTGATTGACGCGCGCGTGTGTGTATGTATGTTTGTGTATGTGCGTGTTACACCTCGGTAGCGTTACCCAGAGAGGTGTAACGAGTGCCCATACGAGCTAGCAGAGGCCCAAGAGCCTAGGAGCCGCAAGTTAGGTGCAAGTCATGATGTGATTCTTAGACTCCTTGTTATACTTGGCGCTAGGGCCAAGCACGAGTCAGGACCGCTAATTAATAAGTCTATGTGCTATGCGGGTTGCAACTTTCCCGTCTGTGATAGACTCCGATGTCGAGCAAAAGGTTTTGTTCCCAAAGGATAGAGATCCCTCGGCTGCGCAAGGTAGCACCGGTCGAACGGCAATTTTACAGCGTATGCATCCCGCGTGTTCTGAACATGTGTGTACAAGAGCCCGTGGCACTTGAATGTGAGTCTGTCTCTTTTGAATATCCGGGCTGAGTGGACCAGAAGTGCTGCGTCGTGTGGTGTTGGTTGGTAATTCATTATGGGTCGCTTTCTGGTGACCTGTTCTGTGCCTGGCGTTGTTGAAAGTCGGTGCTGCGGAGTCCATGATACGGACCAGCACCGCCGCACCGCCGTGAAAGGTGGCTTAAAGATGTACTCGTACTCGTATCCCTCCTTTGCGCCGGGTAAGTCTTCCGTGTGCGCCGCTGTAGCAGCTGCAGCTCAGCGATTATGAACCCACGTCATGTCTTGTCAATTAACGCGAATTCCTGGTTTGTTTAGTACGAACCCATCAGTTTTTCCGTTGACAGGAAACTCTCTCAATATTTTCCATGTTCGTGGCGCTTACCTTGGTTCATGGTGGCGACCTCTGTGACGGTTGGTGAACGGATGACTAAGCGAGCGATTAGTGAGCGACGAAGAGGAGGAAGAGGGTGGCTTGCGGTCGCTACTTGGCGGCAGGCCCAACTTTTTGCGCTGCCAAGCCACTGGTGGTGTCGACGTAATGGTAAACAAATGCCACCGTTTCCCCCGGACATTAGGATGGATGCTGTTCGGTTGTTGTAGTTTGCGGGGCTCAAGTTCTGCCAGGGGGAAATCTTATTTTAGGCGTAGTCGAAAATGTGTTTGAAGAGGGGTTGGTTGTTGTATTGAGCTGCTGTTTGCTCGGTGGTGTTTCGTCTTGCCTAATTATCTTCCTGGTGTTCTCGGACTCGGCTGCTGGTCGATACGAGCTCTCTTTACCAGAGCAGCTGCTAGCTGCCGCTGTTATTGTCCATTGGTCAGCGGTGTGGGTCTGGCGACCTTTCTTTGTAATCTTCAACTCATTTCGGTCTTATCATCCGCAGCTCATTTCGTCAGTTCTTCTGGTGTTGGTTGCTGTAGACATGCCGCCCTTTGACCATCTGCGCACGACCGCTGACTGCGACCGAGAGCTGGTCTCCTTCCCACCGCTCTCATCGGATGAACTCGACATATTGCAACGGGTAGAAGATCAGCTTTTGGCCATCGACGAGGCGTTGGCGACAGACCTCGGCCAGCAGGAGCAGCATCTGCCCGCGCAGGCTTCGAAATCAGCCAAGGACGCCCACACAGCCAAACTCGAGTCCATTCGGCGCAAGCATGAGTCACAGCGTTCGAGGCTCCTTCGAGCCAACCCGTGACACCACACACGCCACACAGACGCCTCCTTATCCCCGAGGAGGGGGCCGATATCGCAGTGCGCACCCCGTCTATCGCCCGACGGGGAGGGCAGCTCTAACACCGGCTCGCGGACAAGGCAGGTACGACCCAACACAGGGCAACGTGGAGTAGTCCCTCCCCAAAACACTGACAGGCGCACTAAGCAAGGCACGCCGCACTACAAACTCGGCCTCTTCACGACACGCACGCAAGGCCCAACGGGGACGAGGTGCACAAGCGGCCCCTTATGGAACTCACGTTGGCTAACCGTCACACAGACGCCTCCTTATCCCTGAGGAGGGGGCCGATATCGTGGTGCACACCCCGTCTATCGCCCGACAGGGAGGGCAGCTCTAACGCCGGCTCACGGACAAGGCAGGTACGACCCAACACAGGGCAACGCGGAGTAGTCCCTCCCCCAAACACTGACAGGCGCACTAAGCAAGGCACGCCGCACTACAAACTCGGCCTCTTCACGACACGCACGCAAGGCCCAACGGGGACGAGGTGCACAAGCGGCCCCTTATGGAACTCACGTTGGGCAGCGACGTCCGCCTGTTGTTGGGCGCCGGCCGCCTTGATGGTATGCCCCCAGACCCCGGCCGCTCCGGTGGCGTTCCAGGGAGGGGGCAAGCGGCGGCCGGCGCCTCCGTGATCTACACTGATGCCGGTGCCCCACAGGTGCCCGCCCGCAAGCGTGCCCGAGCCCTGTCGACCGCTGCCTGCTGCTGGTCCCGGGGCATGGCCTGCGTCATCCTCACCCACCCTTGGGAGGGGGTGCCAGCCTTGCAGCGGAACGCCGGAGACGAGCTGAAGTTTACGCTCTTGAATCGCGAGCTGAGCGGCATCGCGAGTCTGGAGGGCCCCCACACGCTGCGGGTTAGAGCTGCCCTCCCCGTCGGGCGATAGACGGGGCGCGCACCGCGATACCGGCCCCCTCCTCGGGGATAAGGAGGCGTCTTGCTGACGTTTAGCCCAGTTCGAGGACCCCCACACGCTGCGGGTTAGAGCTGCCCTCCCCGTCGGGTGATAGATGGGGCGCACACCGCGACATCGGCCCCCTCCTCGGGGATAAGGAGGCGTCTGTGTGACGTTTAGCCCAGTTGGAGGGCCCCCACACGCTGCGGGTTAGAGCTGCCCTCCCCGTCGGGCGATAGATGGGGCGCGCACCGCGATATCGGCGGTCGCTACTTGGCGGCAGGCCCAACTTTTTGCGCTGCCAAGCCACTGGTGGTGTCGACGGAATGGTAAACAAATGCCACCGTTTCCCCCTAGACATTAGGATGGAATGCTGTTCGGTTGTTGTAGTTTGCGGGGCTCAAGTCCTGCCAGGGGGAAATGGATGACATGATAAATTCATTGACTAGGGTTTGGTGTCCGATGTGTCCTCATGCACGTAATTTCCTGACATTTCTTAATCCCGCGGATGAATGTTGTGAGCCAGGCCAGGTTTGTTCGTCCAAACTGCGTAAGCTAAAAGGTGCAGGTTTGGACCTGATTGCCGCTGCCAGTAGGCCTTGTTTCGCTCGTCAAGGCTGTCTGTCCATAGGCAAACCTGAACCCGGCCATCACACCCGACGGAAAAGTTAGAGCTTAAACAAAACAAACTCGGTCTCAAACCCCCAACCCCAACCGAATTATTAAGGCCTGTACTGAGCTGCGGTTGGGTGCAGTCAGTACACACTCCTGATATTTTAGCTTTTTTCCGATGAGGACGTTCGACGGTTTCCCGACGAACAGCTTTTCAAAGTTCGAAGGCCGTCAACTTCTTCAACGCACACGAATCCTGGATTGTATATCTTACACAGCTTGTGATTAATGTACATGGGCCAGACAAGGCATGTTGCCGGCAAAATGCATAGACAAGCATTGGACACAAAGCATTCCACGGCCCATCCTGGAGATACGCGGCACTAAGTGAAACCATGATACACAGATCTGTCATTTGCAACACGTGGCGGAACGACATCGTCGCGATCATGCGACAAACCTTGGCACAAATATAAGGGCACGTTCCAGCACCCAACGTCAGGCGGCATTACACAACGGAACATATGCTACCCTCGCACGCAAGAGGTAAAACCTCTCCAAGCCTCGGCGATGGCTCAAAAAGGAAGGCATTCGCCTGAAGTCGCTGCTGTGTAAAATTCAAGAAGCAAAAGTCAAGCAAGAATCCATACGCCCCCTGCATGTATGCAAGTCTTCAAAAGTGTTACACTTGACGCAGGAGGCCCTTCAGGCTTCCATGCTCAATTTGCACATGTTAGGGGAGTTTTATCCTCCTACGCACGCTCGCCGCGAATGCGACGCGCCAGCTGGATGTCCTTGGGCATGATGGTGACGCGCTTGGCGTGGATGGCGCACAAGTTGGTATCCTCGAACAGGCCCACCAGGTAGGCCTCAGCGGCCTCCTGGAGTGCCAGAACTGCCTGGGTCTGGAAGCGCAGATCGGTCTTGAAGTCCTGAGCGATCTCACGCACAAGGCGCTGGAAGGGAAGCTTGCGAATGAGCAGCTCAGTGCTCTTCTGGTACTTGCGAATCTCGCGCAGCGCGACTGTTTGTTCCCGCAAGGGAAAAGGCATCAGCAAGGAAAGGGGGACGCAGTTGTAACGTCAAGGCAAAGGGATTCGCAACACGATGGGCAGGGTCGGGGGTGTGGCACATTGTGCCGCCCCGCTGCAGTAGAAGGGCGGAGTGGAGGTCGAAGAGGAGCTGCATCTTAAAACCATGGTCTCCCATCCCGTCGACATGTAAGAATCCTTGGTCAGACGATAAGAGGCTGTCAGATATTATCAAATGCCTGTATACAGTGGTTAAGAGCCCCAAACAGAACTACCTGTGTCCATGCTTCATATGCGCAGCGGTTATATATAACTTTCCGTGTGGCAGACAAATATAAGGCTTTAGCATTAATATGGCCATTATTTACCGGTGCCGGGGCGGTAGCGGTGCGGCTTCTTCACACCGCCCGTCGCAGGAGTCTTGCGCGCTGCCTTCGTAGCAAGCTGCTTGCGAGGCGCCTTACCACCAGTCGATTTACGGGCCGTCTGCTTGGTGCGAGCCATCTTTAACAGCTAGCAAGGAGTAAACGTAGATTTGGGGGACGGTGTCGTAACAAGGAGTCAAAAGACGCCAAAACCTAGCCCAAGGGACTCCAGATAATTAAGGATAGTTACAGTTAAAAACTCTGGGTTATCAGGTCGACGGTAAAGAACGGGATGGTGCTTTATATTGCCGTACTTTCCACCGGGGCCTCATGGGTCATGGCTCATAGGGCGTGATATCATATGAACAGCTTTTCGCGCAGGCTTGATCAAATACAAAGATTACATGGAGCGGACCTGCGCTGCTTGCTATACCATGCAGGCTAGCTACTATTGGTTTCTCTCTGACCTGGTTGATGCATTGTCGAATGATGGACACCCTCAAGCAACCTGTTGCAACTTTTGCCCCTCTTGTATTGCGGATACGATGCGTGTAACTCAGTGCGCGGCTATATGCGAATCGGTACCCATGCGGCATACCGCGTGCTGCTTTATTGACAGGCTCATTTAATTAGTACGCTATAGGTAGTCGCTGGTCTTGGTCTCCTTGAAGCCGCTGCTGCAGTGGCAGTTGGATCTGCTTTAACGCTGCGTTGGCTGCATGGCCGGCCTGACACTTTCCCACTTGCTCTGCACAATCAGCCAACAATTCACCATCGCATAATGCCGCTGCATACCGACCGCTGCATTGGGTCGTATGGCATGGATTTTAACATTCAGTAAACTTGTCCAAAATCCTACCAAAGGCAAATGCAGGTTTCCTTAGCATATTTACTAAAAATCACGCCATTTTCAGTTTTAATATGTAAATCCATAATATTAGACCTATTTGTAATGTGTCAATCAGCCTGTCGGAAGGCCGATTGGTGGCTGAAATAGAGCTTTTCCAAGTCGTGGATGTCCTTTAACACAAAATTGATGGCCTTGAACGCGGTCCCGTCATAGCTCATGGGTTAAAAGTGTTACCATTCTGTTGAGGAAGGGCCCAAAGGAAGTGAACTGGCGATGCGTGTTTCGCCCAGGCACGCAGGCATGCAAGCAAGCAGGGGACGGAGCATTCGAATCTGCTAGTTGTGCCACGCGTGGGAGCATGCACAGACATATTTTTTTTGGTACTGAAGCTCGGGGTCCTAGACCGTAAGCGGGGTCCAGGACGTCGCAGCTGTGGACAGGGCCAGCCACTCGCGTAGTTTCCGGCTTTTTACTAATTCCCTCTGATATAATGCTGCCAGGCCAACCACTCGACTGGAAGCCATCCTTGGCTTGGACAGACAAGCTAGCTCGGGCGAAAGTGACGACCTCAGCCACCTTAACGGTTCGAACGGTTGACTCCGTACGTTAACGTTGTTACTTGCGACGTAGCCGATGTAAGCAGCTGTTGGGTAATTCTCCATATATAGTCCATCACCAGAGCGTTTTGGGGTGTTAGCCTTCCTGTTTGCCGTACCAGTCGTCCCGAAACATGAATAATCTTTCACATATCGCACGCTAACATCGGCGGTGTCATTATGGAAGCAGAAGTGCAAAACTTGTTGTGTCACTGTGGACTATATTCTGCACGCATTAGTGCTGCTGTCTTTCTCCGCCGACACGGGCCCAGCTCGGCAGCATAAGGTCGTATCATCGTCTGTCCACGCTGTAATAATTCCGTTCTGTCGGTATCATGGCGCCCCGAAAGCCGATCATTGGCGTCATGGGACCAGGGCAGACGAATGTGCACACGGAGCCTGTCGACAAGCTTGTGGAACTAGCAACTGAGCTTGGCAAGCAAATCGCATCACACGACTGGATTTTGCTGACCGGTGGACGCAGTCTGGGTGTTATGGACGCGGCATGTCGTGGCGCTAAGAGTGCTGGCGGAATCACCGTTGGCATCCTCCCTGGCCCCGATGCAAGTGATATTAGCGGTGAGCCAGGCAATGATCCGGATACCTTCTTCTTGCGTTATAATACAAACGTCGGAGGGGATGCATATGCAAAGGTTCGCTGCCATGTCGATGCTTGATGACGGACGGCTGACTGCCTACCTTGGCAACCCCCAGCCAGGCAGCCTCGTCCATGCCGGGAGAACAGATGACAGAACCCCCCCACACACGCAAAGAGCAAACTGCTGGTTGTACCTTCTCACGGAAGGATGTAGGTGTGAATCCTGGCGCATGCTAATATGGTCCTTCAACCCTCTTCGCAAATGTTTCTCTCGATCTTTATATTCTTCCACTTGGCTAGACACACACGCAGCTGTTACCATTCATCCTAGAATGACATACATCCGGTAAACTGAGTTTGCACGTATGCATACAATGGCCTTGAGATCTTCCTTCGTTGTTTACCCTTTTCCGAGTGCCCAATGCCTGCGTCGCCTGCGCGGTGGTGTGCGTGGACGTCTCTCCGAACCTCAGCAAAGAAGACAGAGCGACCAGTGTCCTCTTCATGTGCTACTTCTCGCGTATGTTCTTCCTGCCGCAGACGCCGTCGACATTCCTATCGTCACGGGCCTGGGCTCAGCACGCGACAATGTGAATGCGCTGTCGTCTTCTGTGGTGGTGGCAGTGGGCATGGGCCCCGGCACCGCAGCGGAGGTTGCGCTGGCCCTCAAGGCCCGCAAGCCCGTCATTCTCCTTGCCACGCAGGTGAGCACCCACCCGGGCTGATCACTGCTGGGGGGCTCATGAAGCTTTTTATATGGTCTGAGCCGCGATGGTGGGGGAAGTGGTGATGGTGATCCGAGAGATTAAACCTCCTGAAGCGAACTCTCCGTAGGTGTCGTGAGTGTCAATACTACAACCCTTGCAATTATTTTGCTACTGCCGTACATGCTGCCTACGCTAATGTTGTCGTGACGGCTGCAGGTACTGTGCCGATCCGGCCCACCCGCTCTCCCATTCCACAAACGTGCCGCCATGACTGATTAACTTTTATTTTTATAAGTCATCCAGGGGTGTGTAGAAGCGATAGGTCCTCATAGTGAATATGGGTAGCTGGGTTCCAAGCCGAACCAGCTCAACCCAGGTATCAACCAGTGCACTGTCCCAACGTCCCCCCCTTTCGCAGCCCGAGGCTGAGAAATTCTTCATAAGCCTCGATGCCAGCCTGGTCCACGTTGCGGAGAATGTGGAGGCGGCCATCGTACAGGTGAAGGCGCTGCTGGCCACGCAAGCAACAGAGGCGCAGGCAGCGGAGGCGTAAAAGGAGCTCGGGGCCTCCGACGGGCAACACAGCAACTGGCAGGTTGCGTTCCGTGGGAACTGACACCACGGAGCCGCAATGCTCAAAACTCAGGAGGAGGAGGAGGAGGAGGAGGAGGAGGAGGACAAGAAATTGTGCATGCGGAGCGCACACTTTTGTTTCCGTTATTAAAGAAGGAACTAGTAAGCCATAATAAGAAGATAAGTGAACGTGTGATGCCTGCGGGGATGTGTGTGCATGCGTACGTGTATGTGTATGTGTATGTGTGCGTATGAACATGGAACGGTGAGGCAGTCAGATGCAGCGTGTTGGTTGGGTAGCAGCTCGCGCCGCACAGCAATCGGCATCGTTAAATTGGAGAGGCATGTCGGCATCATGAACTGGAAACGTGCTGTCCTAGGGGGCACGGCTATGTCCCAGCTCATTACGGTCTGCGTGGCGTTAGGGGCACGATGGAAACTTTTCATGAGGATTTGTTTTCTGAAGTATTGGGTTATTGATTGGTTGGAGTGTGCGGCAAGAGTGCGCCTGTAACGATTTGTCCGCCATCGCGCGCTGATGGGTCTGGTCGAACTGCACGCGTGTGTGCGGTGTGTGCGCAGAAGATGTCGTTAAGCGGCCTGATTGTTTCAGGAAATATTATGGTTACAAGAAACGAGGAAACTCCGGATGACTTCGGGATTGCACTGCCACCGGTGATTGAGTTACAATTCGTTCAGGGTTGCGATGATGGCTGTGACGCCAACAAGTTATTGATCGCTGGCTGTTTGTGGCGGCGGAAATGCGGCGATTGCACCAACTCCGGTGTTTGGTAGGACTACCGGACCTAAACGTAACGCCGAATGGGGAAATTGTGTGTTTCGGTGGCAAGTTTACCATACTCCCCTGCGCTGCCAAGCATTTTTTTGCGTACCCCTTATCACCATACGACCTAGTAGTGATACAGAATAGCCCTGCGATAAATTCACGTGTGTTTCAACGGGTTGGCTTCTTCATTCCCAACATTTCGCACGACATTGTCAGGCACTAAATACAGGATGCGTACACAAATTTTGCATCGGTGAAAGGAAAAGTTGCGTGAGGAGCGCGATGCTCACAAGCGGCATCAAAACACTTATGTGCTCTTCAGCCATCCATCGAGAAACGTGCCGTACAGGACAAACCATGGCAAAGTTCATTTACTATAGGAAAGGTCGCGCTCCATAGTGTGAGAGACTTCCTGTAAGAAGTCAAACTGTAAGGAAATGGACGGGCAGCCACAGCAAAAGAAGAGAAAATGGGACGTTCCTGGGTCTGCGCCAATGCCTGCAGCTATAACTGTGCCTATTTCATTAACTCAAGGCATGGGCATTGCTACTGTTGGAGCAACAGCTGCTTCAGCGCCTGCTGTGGATATCGCACTTGCTCAGGCTGCTGCTGCAGCTCTCTTCAGCAAATATCACCCCGGGGCACAGGTAACGAAACCAAATATGATCTCAAGGATACTAAAGGGTTGCAAATTCGCCGACCAAATTGCTGCTGGCTTTCCATGGCGCTGGGCCAGAGTTATGGCAAGATCTGCGTTGCGCCAACCCGAATAATCTTTCAGTTGTATCCCCTCCTGAAGTGTGCATCGCGGCATGCTTTCTAAACCCGATGCAGACTAAGACAGCTGCTCCTGCGGTATCAGCACCATCAGCGCCCCCGGAACCCAAGCCGGTAGACATAACCCGTGAGGTGTTCATCAACGATGCCCCCACCGGTGTGCGCATCCATCTGACCAAGCGGGGAGTCCAGGACGAAATCCAGGCGCGCACAAACACAATCATCGTTACCCGCGGACGTTACTATCCCCCCGGCGTGGTGCCTGATGGCAAGGAGAAGCCTCTGCATCTACTGGTCAAACCAGGAGCTCAAGCCGGCACGGTACGTCAGCTGCCGGCTGGCAGCTTTTCAGCTCAAACTTGTGGCGTCAACCCGCGCGTTTGGGGCATGCACATTAGTCCCCAGATGCAGCGGCATGGAGGGATTTGCCCTGCACCAGGAGCAGGTCCGGATTAACAAGGAATCGTTGCACTTTTTAGCTGTGCTCCGAATTAGATTTCCTGAGATGAAATCGGCTCAGAGCTCACTTTCACATATTTCCGTGTGGAAAGCGCTCTCAGTAATCCAGAATCCATTTGGCGCAAGCGGCTTTGTGTGCGGAGGCGCGCATGTTTGGCTGCCTCAGCCATGCGTCGCAGCATCCTTCCCCACATGCCCATACCGCCCCACGTGCCCCGGCCTGTGCCGACTCTCACTCTCACCTGTCCTTTGCCCGCTCCAAGGGTGCCCCGCCCACCCCCCAACGTTTCCACTTCGCATTGCGCATATGACCTCCCCCCCGCCTTTCCCAATTCTCGTCCTCGTACCTGATACCCTCCTTGGTACATTGCCCATGTACCGCCCGGCGGCTTTTGCGGTGCGCGTTTCCCGAAGGTTCGCCCTCTCGTTTCCTCCCTTTTCCCTACCTCTTTTCCCCTACCTCTAACTTAACCTCGTTATGTATGTTTTCGCATCTTCTCATGCTCTTCACAGACCGACGAGCAGAAGCAGCAGGCCGTCAACAACGCCGTGTCGGACATACAGCGGATCCTGCAGGGCATGCCCAACAACCGCCCACCGCCGCCGGGGCACCTCCACCACCACTCACCGCCGCCGGGGCAGCACGTACCCGCGCCGCCCTACGGCGCCCCGCCACATCACCAGCCGCCACCGTACGGCGCACCGCCGCTACCGTACGGCGCTCCTCCGCCGGGCTACGGCTACCCGCCTCCCGCGGCGCCACCGCCATATCACCCAAATCAGCCGCCGCCGCCTGCGACGGCGCCGCTGCAGGTGGCGGCAGCAGCCCCAGGCTCTGTCCCGCCTGTTGGGCCTGCAGGCACCGCCACCAGCTGCGTCATCTACACGGGCATCACGCAGCCGGGGTCATTCCCGGTGGCCGACAAGATTAAGGGCCCGGGTACGTGGGGCCCGATTAGGGAATGTGTCTGTGTGTGGATTGTGTGTGTGTGTGTATTGGTGGTCCATGCAATCAGCTGCAGTGTGCACTCTTCCAACTGTTTTTTTCTTCTGCATGCCTCGCAATATCCGTATACATGTCTGGTTATCGTCATGGCTGTGTCACCATGGGACGGCGCAGTGCCATGCAGCATAATACTCATGCTGCCAGCATGTGGGCCAGTACTGCAGTGGGAGTCCGTCTCCGTCCCACCTCCGGTTGTTGCTTCTGTTGCTGTGCTGTCATGTTACTGCTGCCGCCTGTCGGTGGTGGCCTGGTGACTGTCCGTCCAACCCACTGCCTACTGCTATTGCCTACACCCCGGACGCGGACGCCGCACCCACGCTGTGGGGACACCGCACCGACAGGCGCATCCTATCTCCAACACGTCGCCAACGCAACGGGCGCGACGGTGCAGCTTCGAGGCCAGGGCTCGGGCGACGCCGAGGGGTGCGTGAGCGCGGTTCCTGGCTCGGGACCTGGGCGGGCTCGGGCCGTGCGTTCTGTCTGTGTCCCCCCCCCCCTCCATCCTGTTGCGGGCTGTTTGGGGCTCCTGGTTGGGCCCCTTCTACCTTCACGCGCCATGCGGGGCCGACCGGCAATCGTGTGATGTTGATGTGAGTGTGTATTTCCCTGTCTGTCCGCGCTGACCTTACCTGACTGGCTTGCAGGCCCGACCGGCTGCACGTCTACATCACCGCCAACACTCCGAAGGCACTGAAGGACTCTGAAAGGTGGGGGGTCTTTGGCGTTTAGGGTTTCGGAGGGCTTTGGCTGGTGGTGGTGGTGGTGGTGGTGGTATTGCAGCTGGTGGTGCGCTCAACCAACCACATGAGCCGACTCGACCGGTGACGTCTACTGGTTAACTGACTTAATACATATGAGAGGGGGCATGCGGGCCTGTGGCTGTATAAATAGCGCGGATGGCCTCGGTTGCTATCTTCTGGCAAGGGAGATTGTGATTGCCGTCATACGCTCCATCAAATCTGTGTGCATGTGGGTGAAAGCGGCAAAAGTTTTCGTACCGTACAAATTGTCGTACACATGCAGTCTCGTCCTGGATCTTCTGCGGACCGTCGTGGAGGAGTTTAAGCGAACCAACCCCTCCCTGGCGCATACCGTACAACCCCCAGCTGTCGTACCGACGGTGGTGCCACAGCCGCAGCCACCGTATGGGTCGGCGGCACCGCCGCCGTATCCTCCGCCGTACGGCGCAGCTCCACCGGCAGGCACGCCGCCGTACTATCCAGCGCCTGGGCACCCGTACTATCCGCAGCCTGGGGTTCACCCTCCTCTGCAGCTGCAGCCGTACGGCACAGCCCCGCCGCCATACGCAGCCCTGCCGCCACCGCATCCTGGTGCGCCAGCACCGTATCCCTACTCGCATCCGGGAGGCGCTGCTCCCGGTGCTCCGCCTCCCTCGCAGCCCTACCCATACGCGCCGCCAGGTGCGGCTGGAGCGTACGGCGCCCCGCCGCCGCTGTCTTCACAACCTTTTCCATCTCAGCCGCAACAGCAACAGCCGCAGGTCGCACCTGGGGTTGTTGGTGCACCAACGCCGCCGGCAGCCATGCCAGGTGCGGCACTGCCAGCAGCACACACGGCACCGGCGGCGCCTGGTGCGGCGACGGCGGCGACGGCACATACGGCGGCGCCGTATGGCGCGCCGCATGCCGCCGCATCGGCGGTGGCGCCGACACCGGCCAGCGCGTCG